TCCACACTCTGTGATATAGTCGTACAGTGACCAATGTACATCGTCTCTTTCTTCGGAAATCAAGGATTCTAGATTAAAGGGTCTACCAATGTCCTTCAAGGAGTAAATTCTTTCCCAAAACAATTTTCTTTCTTTTTCATATTCCGGACATTCCATTATGATATGATTGAGATCCTCCACAGTATCGCACGTCGCGCAGTTTGGACTTTCCCTCAAACCGATCTTAAATTTATGTGTGCCCCACAATCCATGGTTAATCCGGATACGTACGAGAAGCCCGATACCCCTGAAATCAGGGTTGTTGTTTATTTACAAACAAAACCAAATCCCTCTGAGTAAACAACGTCAATTCAGTTCAGTTTCTGCATTCATGTATATTAGTGCGATGGGACGAGCAAAACATTAACACCAGCTGAAAAAAATATCATTCAGCGAATGAAAAATCGAGGATTTTGTATTTCCAGTATTTCAAAAAATACCGGTAGAAGTAGGAAAGTAATTTTAAATTTTTTGAAGTCTCCGGAAATCTATGGGACGAAGAAATCTCCTGGCAGACACCGGCCTTAATAACACGGCAAAAACGGGCAATTTTGAGGGTTGCATCCAACTCAACTTTAACGGCCCGTCAAATTGCTGCGAGAGCTGGTGTAGTGACAGATGTGAAAAACGTCCAAAGGATCATTCGTGCAGCTCCTCACATCAAAAGAATGAAAATGAAAGGCATTCCACCTCTAAGCACGGCGCATAAAGAAAGAAAAAAGGAGTTTGCCCGTGAACATGTGCAATGGAAAGACGAATGGAAGGATGTCTTGTTCACCGATGAAAAAAAATTCAATCTCGACGGTCCCGATGGCTGGGCTCACTATTAACATGACCTACGGAAAGAAGAGAAAGAGTTTTCCAAAAGGCAAATGGGAGGAGGCAGCGTCATGATATGGGATGGTATTGGCTATGATCACAAAACTGATATTGTGTTTATTTCTGGTCGAATGAACAGCCAACCATATGTTAATTTGTTAGAAAACCAATTAAAAAAATATTTTGAACTTGTTCCTAAAGAGAACGTAATTCAGCAAGATAAGCTCCAGTTCACACGGCAAAAGTAGCAAAAGAATTTTTTAGAAAAGAAAGGATCAGAATTATAGATTGGCCGGCTAGGCCCCTGGATTTTAATATCATCGAAAATGTATGGGGGCATCTTGCTAGGAGTGTTTACAGCGGTAGCCGACAATTTTAGGGCGTTGAAGAATTGAAAAAAAACAATTCAGAAAGAGTGGACCAAACTTTCACAAGAGATGATTCGTCGTCATTTTGACTCGCTTTTAAATCGTATGATTGCTGCATTAGAAAAAGGTAGTGCATATTCAGGATATTAAATTTAATTTGCGTTATTTTAATTGTGTTTTAATAAAGAATTTTATTATTATTGTTCACTGTGCTATCTTTTTGTCTCACCCCAAATCTTTATTTATTAATTCTTACAAATTATTTTTTTTCCAATTCCTAATGGAGAAAATCGGTTCAAAATGCACTACATATTAACAAAAAAAATTATATCAATGGTCGAAATTGATTAAGAGAAAAAATATTGGGTGGGCTATCTTTTCGTCCCGGACCTTAATAAAGTAATTCAAATCCTTTGAGGAAGTGGTTTTTCAAACAAAAATTTATTATTCACGAGTACAAGTATTTTCATTTTAGCCGGAGAATGTATAAAGCTCTGAAATTTGTGATACGCATCATTTGGCAAGAGAAGAGACGTCAGCGAGTGATAAAAAATTGATTCCCAAGCTCTTTTTCACTGGAATCGTTACATCTCTGAAGAACATGGTGGCGGTTATCGATAAAACTATTGGGGAAAAATGAAGAGGAAGTGTTAGAGGCAAACGCTACGATACTAATAAGGGTTTGAGTTATGGGTAGACAAAAGGTACTATCTCGGCCCATTCTTCTCCCACAACTTACTTTGCTCCGAAGGGAAAGCCCTTAACGAGGGCGTCCCGGATAATTACCTTCCCCCGAAGCGGAAAGTTTAGAATTAAATGAATCTCTGAGCCTCTTTTGAATCTTCGAACTTTTGACAATTAAAAAATATTGCTGATACCAATAGGAAACTGTGTGAAACCTATCGCACTAGCAGTGGGAGCCCGGGTTTAGAGTATCACCAAGGTTCCTAATCAAGATTTGTCACCGTGAGGAGCCGGAGGAGTGTTTTAAGAAAATTAATACAATATTTTAATTTCTCATTCTTTATTCTCTTGGAAACCTACTCACGGAAAAGCCAGCAATATAAAAAATTTTACTTACTCTAAAAAAAATTATCAAAATTAATAAAGGCAATCATTTTATGGATGCCAGGATACAAACTGATGGGTATCAAATAAAGATTTCCAAAAAAAGAAATGCTCCACGAAGATACACATTTAAAACAAATTATGAGAAGTAGATAGCAAGCTGTTGGTGCAACAAGAAAAAACAGGGAAAATAAAATAATAAACAAATTAAAAATGGAAGTCGGCTATAGTTATAATGATACCCAAACCGCAGAAGCCAAAAAATGACCCAGCTTCTTAGGCCAATTAGTTCGCTAAAATCTTGGAAAGACTCATCCTTCATCTCCTGAGTCCACTCGCATCTTTGTTCCCGGACACGCAATTTGGATTCAGATCGATCTCCTGCCAACACCAACTGCATAGAGTTGTAGAAAAAATCATACAAACCTTTGAGGAAAAATCAGTTTGCTTGGGAGTGTTCCTCGACGTAGAAAAAGCCTTTCTCAAAGTGTGGTACCCTGGCTTACTCTCCAAGTTAAAAGAAGCCTTAGATGATACATATCGTATTATCCAGTCTTACTTATCAAATAGGACCTTCACAGTCAGAATAGAAAAAACACCAGTCACAATCCAAAGAGATAAAAGCAGGTGTTCCTCAAGGGAGTGCCCTTGGACCCCTACTATATAATTTGTACGCTTCTGACTTCCCAAGGTCACAAGTCGAGCCAATACAATAGCCCAATTCGCCGATGACACCGCAGCTCTCTCCAAAGGCGAAACAGCCCAAACAAATCTACAGCAGTACCGTCACGAAGTTGAGGCGTGGTGGAATAACTGGAGCGCAAGTGAACCCATCAAAATAGAAACTCGTTAGATTCACGTTAAGGAAACTGCAACCAGTTAATAATTCACGGGAGAAACTATACCATTATGCACTTCAGTAAGACAACTGGAGCTGGAGCTTGACTACAAGCTGACTTGGAACGTACATATATCAAGTCTATTCAAAGGATTAATTAAGGTTTTCAGTTGAGATAAAAAAATCAATGGCACGAGCGGGATTCGAACCCACGATCTTCGGCTTGATACGCCGCTGCTCTACCACTTGAGCTATCGTGACCTCGATCCACTCGGACACTAACTTCCCACCTCACCTTTAGAATTTTCCCTCCTTCCCCGCTCGTGCCATTGACTTTTTTACCTCAACTAAAAACCTTAATTAATTGTATGATATTAATTGGTCAAGCGGACCACGAAACTAGTGAATTTAATAAGTTTGAAATGAAGTATCCTTCACTAAAGTTCTCCGTGGCCATTTCGTTTGTCGCCGAGAATCAAATTGATTACACCACATTTGAAAAATGGCAAAAAGGAAGGAAAATTGTAAAGGTGTGGTTGAGATGGGAGGTTGGTGACCAAGTGAATCGAAGTCACGATAGCTCAAGTGGTAGAGTAGCGGCGTATAGCCGAAGGTCGTGGGTTCGAATCCCGCTCGTGACATTGACTTTTTTACCTCAACTAAAAACCTTAATTAATTGTATGATATTAATTGGTCAAGCGGACCACGAAACTAGTGAATCTATTCAAAGGACTGCGAAACAAATTCTACCGGCTAAGACTTGCCAGTTTCCCCCTCAGTCTTCCTAACAAACGCCTAATCTACCTATTGTTAATAATGCCGATGTCGGCTTACACCAGCGGGATATGGGCTACGGCATCCAAAACACAAATAAACAGAATCCAGGTATTTCAAAATCGTTGCTTGAGATGAATCACCCCCTCGTTCATCAGTAGCTGTGCAATAAAAAGGACGGCAGTGTTCCAATGATTCAGGACAGGACTACATTCCTATACAACAGGCTACACCAATCTCTCCAGAGGCACAGCAACAACAACCTCAGAGAAGCAGAGCTCACCACGCCACCTCCTCAAGATAGAAGAAGGCTCAGGAGAAAATGGCTGGGTGATAGTGTCTAGGTTGAGTCACAAGTTGTGTTAAACCCGCTCGTGACACTAACTTTTTCATTTCAACCAAGACCTTACATAAAAAGAATAATTAATTGAACGAAGTATTTACTAGGTTACATACCGGTCAATATCGGATGGACACATGGTTTTTGACCAGTCACCACAATGGCATGCGGTGATGCAGAAACGGTCAAGCATTTGCTTGTCTTGCAGGGGAAAAAAATTCTTTTCGACAAGAGTCTTGTGCTTCATCAAAGTTCTGTGGAATTGCGGAGAGATTCGGATAGATTGATGGAATTTTTTCGTGATGTTGGATCGCTAAATTTAATTTTTTCAATCGCATGTGAGAAAACACCTACGTAACATTCAATGATGACCCCATTTATATGTTATTCAATTATGGGGAATAAACGGCCACCCATATTATTTATTATTTTATTTTTTTTAACGAGGGTTCGCAACAGCAGAGGTCATATAAACCCTCAGGGAGCCGGTGTTTTTGAAAAAAAAAAATTTGTAAGTATGTCGGATTCGAATGCAGGGCCGCTGGATTCGAACCCGGCTCCTTTAACTTACAGTGATGAGCGCCGTGTCAAAGACTAAACCTTGCGGCCACCGACGCCCCCTTTTTTTCTCTTTGTTACTTTTCATTCTAAGTTGTAGCTAGAAAGTTTTTAATGAAGTGAATGAAATTTTTGCCTATGAAGCTATTTTAATTTGTTTGTATTATTAAGCGCTTTTGTTTCTGTTTTCTTACAGGTTTTCCTATTCAAAAGCTTCAAAGTAGAGTCCTGCACCTTCACGTCTTCGACTATGACAGATTTTCTCGTGACGATTCAATCGGCGAAGTTTTCCTACCTCTCTGCCAGGTAATTTCTTTAATCAAACTCCTACATATTGATTTTGTTTTCATTTATGTTATTCTTTTACTTTCCCAGGTCGACCTTTCGGAAAAGCCTTCTTTCTGGAAGGCGCTGAAACCCCCTCTTAAAGACAAATGCGGCGAGCTGCTCACATCTCTCTGCTACCAACCCAGCAACAGTATTCTGACCATTACCCTTCTCAAAGCGAGGAACTTAAAAGCAAAGGATATCAACGGGAAATCCGGTAATTCGATTTGTTCAGTTTATGGAATCTCACACTAACTCTAAACTGTTTCAGACCCGTATGTGAAAGTCTGGCTGCAGTTCGGAGACAAACGAATCGAAAAGAAAAAGACCCCGATCTTCAAATGTACTCTGAACCCCGTATTCAACGAAACGTTCAGCTTTAACGTCCCTTGGGAAAAAATCAGAGAATGTTCCCTTGACGTCATGGTTATGGATTTCGATAATATCGGGCGTAACGAGTTGATCGGAAGAATCCTGCTGGCAGGTGAGTCATATATTAAAAATAAATAAAAAATACTAAACCCGTAGTTTAAACCTATTTTATTCAATCTGATTATTTGAAGATCGTGAGGTGTGGTCTGGTGTGACGTAGGTTTTAGAAAAACATTTTCTTTATCATACCAACGTTTCGATCTTTATTGAGATCATCTTCAAAGTGTTTGTTTTCCGTGAAGTTGTGTCATTCTTGTGCGTCGTGTTGAGAGTGCCCCCACGACACACAAGAATGGCATAACTACACGGAAAACAAATACTTTGAGCCCTGAAGATGATCTCAGTAAAGGTCGAAACGATGGTAATGTTTTTCTAAAACCACATTACACGAGACCGCACCTCACGATCTCCAAATAACCATTGGATAACGGTCACTAAACACCACACATTTATTCAAAATATTTTAACGACTCCTCCTTGAAAGACTTATTTCCATTTTTGTCTCTAAAAACTGAATCCCCACCCAACAATTAGGTTTCCGATCCATAAAAACCCTCGGGGTGCCAGTGTTTTGAAAAACAGGCCATTTGTAAGTATGTCGAGTTCGAGTGCAGGGCCTCTGGATTCGAACCCGGGACCTTTACGTTACTAATGAGCGAGTTTTCGAGTTTATTTACTTTTAATTTTTACATACATTCTGTACAAGGTGACTACAAGGTGAAATGTCTAGGGCATTATACATCATTGTGGCAGAGGGCTTAAATATATTTACAATATTTGCTGATTTGGCCTAGAGAAATAAGAACAGTGGGGAAAATTATAATAAAAACCACTTGCAGAACGAATACATTAATAAATAGGGAAGTTACAAATAATTACATATATTATAAATTATAAATCATAAGTCATTGACTACATATGTACAATAGATAAGTTTGATAAACAACACATTTAATATTACCTAATTTCATAAATAAGTTAATAAATAAGCAAGGTAATAAACAATTACTAATTATTATAAATTAAAATCATTGAATAGACTTGTACAATACATAGTCAGACATTTACTAATTTGGTAAATAAATAAATACATATATAAACGAGTAAAATTAACAATTTAATAAATAATATCACAGTGAATAAATATACAAAGCAGTCATACTAAAATGTGTTTGATACTCCTGTGTTTCCAATTTTTGTTGACGTTATAGTTTCCTACATTCTATACTGTCATGTTTAATTCACTACTTTCGTGGTCCGCTTGACCAATTAATACATGACAATTGATTAAGGTTTTTAGGTGAGATGAAAAGAAGTTAATGGCACGAGCGGGATTCGAACCCACGACCTTCGGCTAGATACGCCGCTGCTCTACCACCTGAGCTATCGTGACCTCGATCCACTGGGACATCAACTCCCCATCTCAAGCCCACCTNCAAGTGGTAGAGCAGCGGCGTATCTAGCCGAAGATCGTGGGTTCGAATCCCTCTCGTGCCATTAACTTTTTTTCATCTCAACTAAAAACCTTAATCAATTGTCACTGTCATATTTGTACTCTCAACGCTACGTTCATAAAAGGAGCTAGGTATCCTTTTGATATCATCCTTAATGTATGGGATGTTTAAAATTTCACGCATATAGCTTCTTTTAGAGAATGTAATTAACCTTAAAAATTTATTTTGAATTGTTTGTAGGGACTTTATATTGGTGTTACTTGTGTAACTCCATACCTGATAGGCAACAGCATTGGTCTAACTATGGTTTTATATATGATGAGTTAATTTTGGGGGCTCATCCCAGATTCTCTATACGTTAAAGGGAACAGAGTCTTGATAGCACACTTCCCTTTATCAACCTTTTTACAAGTGTTGATACCAATGTTAAGCTTGCTATCGAGGTGTAAACCAAGGTGTTGAACACTATTGCGCCAAGGAACATTTGAGTCACCGATTCTTATAAATTCCCTATGTATAGGATATCGTTTTATGAATAGGATTGCCTCAATTTTTGTTGTGTCTTATGAGCGCCGTGTCAATGCCTGAACTACCTATGGCCCGAATAGCACCTTTAAATGTTGAAGAGGATCAAGTTTATGGTATTAAATGAAGTTTAATTCAAATTTATGCAAACAATTCACCGAGCTTTCGCAACAAATAGTCGCATCATCAGGGCCTGTATTGATCAAAGACACAATACATTAAACTTTGGCATTACTTTTTATTTAACAAATTGATAAAACTTTTATGAAACAATTAAACTGTATTAAATTATTTTTATATAAAACAGATAATATATATTCAAGTTTACTTATACAGCTGCTGAATTTTATGTTATATATCTGAGAAAGACGACTAATTTTATCCATTTCACAGAACATTTTGACCGTTATGTGTTTTTTGACTAGATTCTACAAAAACCAAAGAAAAAGAAAACATGAAGTAAGTTAACCTTTTTTTTGACGAACACAGAGAAAAAAAGTCATGTTTTAAGGTGTTTTTTTTTCTTTTACCTTCGATCGTGGTTGTTTGTTTTTTTATGTTAATGAACTAGTTCTTTTGGAGTAAAGTTAGGTGAAATTTAAAATAAATAGTCTATCTCCGTCAAGGTCCCTATTTAAAAAAAAAATAGAATTTCAAAGTTTAATGTATCGATGTCTTTGATCAATAAAGGCCCTGATGATGCGACTATATGTTGCGAAAGCTCGGCGAATTGTTTGCATAAATTTGTAACTTCATTCAGTACCATAAACCTGATCCTCTTTAACATTGAAGAAAAAGTGGTCAATCATCCGTAACATTTAGCACCTTTAAAGTTAAAAATTATTCTCTCTCTCTCACCTCCTGAAGTCCTTCCTCTCCCACAGCTGGTTTAAAGTATGAAACGATTAGAGAATTTTTTCGCATCATTCCAATCAAAGCTGGCGTCCCGCAAGGAAATATCCTGAGATCAATCTTCTACACAATATACACCGCTGACATACCCACGCATTGTAACATAAAAGCACGACCAACGCCTAAGACACGATGATCATACCGTACATTCCGACCTAGAATCCAAGAAAACCTAGATCTCATACCGACTGCTGCACTCAGTGGCGGATCAAGTTAACCTTGCAAAAAATCCATTACATGGAGTTTCTTTCTTTTCTTGGGCCATTGGTGACTATGTCCTTCTTTATTTACACATTGGAAATTGCACGTTTTATTCACCCAAAACATTTAAACAATCAGGTAATCCAGATAATTCCTCCATCCATATAAATCTGCAAACTTGGATTTTAGCCGGATATCAGACATACATACAACACGATTAGCAGTTAAAGGAATCCTATCAACTGCCATAGACACACTACTAAACACTTCTTATTCACCCAAAACATTTAAACAGCCAGGTAATCCAGATAATTCCTCCATACAAATAAGTCTGCAAACTTGGACTTTAGCCGGATATCAGATATACATACAACATAATTAGCAGTTAAAGGAATACTATCAACTGCCATAGACACATTACTAAACACTTCTTATTCACCCAAAACATTTAAACAACCAGGTAATCCAGAAAATTCCTCCATCCATATAAATCTGCAAACTTGGACTTTAGCCGGATATCAGATATACATACAACATAATTAGCAGTTAAAGGTATACTATCAACTGCCATAGACACACTACTAAACACTTCTTATTCACCCAAAACATTTAAACAACCAGGTAATCCAGATAATTCCTCCATCCAAATAAGTCTACAAACTTGGACTTTAGTCTGATAGCAGACATACATACAACACAATTAGCAGTTAAAGGAATCCTATCAACTGCCATAGACACTCTACTAAACACTTCTTATTCACCCAAAACATTTAAACAACCAGGTAATCCAGATAATTCCTTCATCCAAATAAGTTTGCAAACTTAGACTTTAGTCGGATAGCAGACATACTTGTAACCCAATTAGCTATTAAAGCAATCCTATCAACTGCCATAGACACACTACTAAACCTACCTTCTTTGCACAAACAGTGGGTAGTTGGTCTTTTACCCTACTATATGACTGGAATTACTTTACTTTATTCTTTTTAATCCAAAGTCCTCCGACAACCTAACAATTCACAAAGGGCCACCATCCTGCAGGATATGATCCGAAAGCAAAATTTACTTTCTAAACTATCGCTCCATCCTAGTCCACTAGGTATAGGTTCGAGCTTCGTGATCTCCCACCCTGCTCAATCTTTATTTTTTCACATAAATTATCTTGGTTTTGTTTTCAGGAAAAAATGGTTCTGGGGCAAGCGAAACAAAACACTGGCAAGATATGATCACGAAACCGAGGCAGACTATCGTACAATGGCATAGGCTGAAACCAGAATAAACTCGAAAGGTAGATCACATACTTTTTATCATATCTATATATATAAAAGTGAATGTATGTGTGTTAATCATAAAAACTACTCGATGAAACTTTCACTTTGTATTTATTATTGCCAGGTGAGTGTAAAGACTATAAAATAGACACGTAATAAATAATGAGCGTCAGGATTTACAAAAAAAAGAAATAATACTTTTTATTACATCCCTGTGTTATAAAGTTATTTTTTTTTTAAATTTAAGATAATATTATATACATAATCAGATGAAAATAAAATTTGTTTTCGCCTTTTTTTTCAGGGACAGTGTGCAGTCAAACGTAGGAACAAACTCCTTGTCCCCTAGACCTATAATTTTCCTGACCCTGAAGACTTAGAATGTTTTCATATTGTTTACATATTATCAATGTAATTGGAAATACGGCGATCGGCTCTCTGAATCGACTCTGCGGCCGATCCCTTTATGTTTATCCTGATAACTTTACACTATTCTCTCATCCAAAATCTTCTTAGACTTGTCTTACATATTCATTCTAAGAGGCTGATATGGATATCTATTTTTGTGAAGTTTTAAATCGTACAAATAATATTGTGAAAAAATAATATATATGAATTTAAAAATAAAAAAGTGAAGAAATATTTAGTCTGATTATATTTTAAACAGAAAGGATTTTAAAAAATAACAGAGGAAGTATATATATATAGTGAACCAGAAAATCATATAAATATATTAATAAAATAACGTATTGTGATTTATGTAAATGTGACTGTTAAAAATATGTACTCCAAACTTAGCCAGGTTTTGTTTTATTTTAGATGTAATGGCTAAACTTGGATTGTCAATAGAGAACAAAAATGTTTTTTGTAAAAAATCGTATTGTTACAATGATGAAATAGTTTATTTAGTATACTTAGAACTAAATATTTCTAATTTTGTGCATATGCATCACAGTACGTTGATTGTTTATTGAGTTCATTTTGATTTATAAAAAAGAAGGAAATAAATGAAGCTAGAAAGGTAGAAATTTAGGTACTTTAGAGGTATTAATCGCTTGCTTAAACAGCTTTAAGTATTAGAACTGGTGTTTTTTGTTTTTCATTTTGTCTAAACCAATCATTTTACGTGCAGTGTTGAACAATTATGCCAATTTTCTATTAGAAACTTTTGATATAAAAAAACATAAAATTTGAAAAATGAAAAATTCTAAATTTTTTATTGTTTTACAATGGGGTTTTGTACTTATTTTTATGAACGCCTTGAAATAAACTCACCCCCTTGGAGTGTTATTTTCCTATTGATGTCAAAATTGGCACTTTTACTAATATCTGGGTAAAAATTGAAATAAAATTGATTTGTGTTTTTAATTTTGAACTTAATACTAATGAATTAGAAATTAATATTTTAAAGTGCCAAATTGACGATTAATTTCATAATGAGATCTTTTGTACACATTATTTTTTCTATAAAGTTTGAAAAATCCAACCAACAAGTTGAACATTTTTTTACCATTAAAAGAAAAACTCAGTAACTTAGCTCAGAAGAGTGTTTATAAATGTCAAAGCTCAAAATTAAATCTTAAACCTAATGGCAATTTCACAAGCACATGTGAATACGTGTTTCTTTTTCAATCATAAAACGACCCCTGTTCTTGTTTTGACTTCTTTTCTTTGGTGCTATTACAAATTCTGACCGAAAGCATCTTGTCACTGTACAAAATAAATAGGGTTCGTAGAATTAGAATAGACAGTGAATAAGGAGTTTTCAAAATAACCAGTTGAAATATTATAAATGTTAGACTGATCTGGAAACATATTTTAGAGTCTTAATTGGGCTTTCCATGAAAGTCTTATATTTTTGTACTGTTTTTGATTTCTGATTGTTTTCCATTTTAAACGAAAACTTAAAAAAAGCAAAATAACAAATAAAACAATGTTCAACTACTTTTTGTAATTTTGTACAAATACATTTTTATTTTTCAGGTTTTGCTTTTTCACATTTACTTTCTGAATTCACTAAAGATATACATTTTAGTTTGTTTATGCAATAAATTTATATTCAAATTTTTAACCTTTATAAATATAAATATTATAATAAAAAAATGTAACGTATTAGAAGTTGTATAATCAGTGTTTATTTGATGAAGTGAACTATTTATTAATAAGCAAAGTCAATGTGAAAAAGCTGTTCTGTAAACTCATCGGAAGCACAAGAGAAAAATTGAAAGAGTTGGCTAAAATCAAAAAACTAAAAGCACAAAAAATTTTCTTTTAGTTTCCTTCATAGATTTCCAGATCGTAAATTTTGGAACGAGAAAGTTAGTGGAAAATTTAAAGATTATGTGTTTAGTCTAAGCCAATGTGATTTTTAAAAAAAATATGTAATCAACTATTTGTATATACAATCGCTAATCTGTGTCTGTATTTTGAATATAATAATCTAATGGTTTGAACTAATAATCCAACAGGATTATACTGCAGGATTCAATCCCCCCCACTGTAAATTACTTAGCACAAGTTTTGTAATTTAGGTTTTGTTAATCGTGTGGTAATCTTGTTCATGAGATTAATATTTTTAAAAAAGTATTTTTAAAAATAAATTAAGGCACCCCTGTCCCAGTTCTCTCTAATAAGTCAAAATCATAGAGCTTATTTAGCCAAAATGGGTATCCTGAGCTTTCGTATCTTCTTCAGGGCTCGTTCTGTATAGTGAATAATTTTTTTTCCCGTACAATTCTGCGTATTTGATTTTTTTTCCAAAATGTCCTGATTCAACATTAATCTATTTAAATACTACGCAATTATTTATTGTTAAATAAATTTCTAACAAAATTCTGTTGTACGATTATAACTTTATTTATTGTTTAGTAAATATATGTAACCTTATGTACTTCTAACTGTGTACAATCTATTCGTATAGGCTGTAGAAATATGTGTTTTGTGTAAACAACTGTATAGAATGCAAAAATATAAGCTGATGAATTAAAATTGTATAATGAATGGGTTTACATTTTTTATTTTTGTCAATTTTGGCAAATAAATCATGGTTTATATATTTGGGTGATGAATAACAATATGTATTAAAGTTTAAATTTATAGTTTTAAGTTATAATTTTTTATATTCATTAAAAGCAACTTTTATTTATAAAAAATATATTTAGAAGTAGACATAGTTTATGAATTTAATGCACGACTTTGATTTTATAAAATGAGTATTAAAAGGAAGTGAAGGATGGTGAATGAAGTATATTTATTAGATTATATACATAATATACCGACATTATATGTTCTATGTGCTAACAAATGTATTACTTTGAATCTGAATGTACAAAAATAAATAAAAATACAGGTATAAAATTAATTTTTTCAACAGACCATTTAAAAAATAAGATGTAGTAGGCTTTAAAACCTCCACAATTTAATTATATTATTTAATTGTAAATGACCAAAAGTACATTCTTAAGATCAAATATTATACAATATATATTATTTGACAATATCACCTCAGTAGTAAAGAGATCTCCATGTTACCAAACAAAAAATAGAGAACAAAAAATTTTATCATTATGCCTTCCAAATAATTTAAAAGAGAGTACGAGGGTCTTGATAGATGCAGATGTACAGCTCTGATTAATACAATAGCTAAAGTATTTTACCAAATTTTAAAAGTGAGATGGCAATTATAAGAAATACGTCATGTGGAACAAACATCCTTAAAGGATATAAAAGCATAATATACATACGTTTCTGCCAATAATAGGAAACTGAGTGAAATTAGTACCATACAAACTAGATTTATAGGCTTTCAATCTTGCATAACACGTCGTTTGTCTGTAAGCAGTAGAAAACTCATCAACTTAGCAGAAACATTTTTTTAAATTTAAGCTCTGTACAAGAACACTCTAATCTCCATCTCATGCTGTTTTATGTTTCGACATGGGCATATCCTGCAGCATTAAGGAAAAACAATTCCCTGGCAGGGTTTTTCATCCTTTAAAAAAATAGAATTTTCCCCTAAACCTGCCTCGCATGTTTGCCGTGATTTGACTTTTTAAAAACAATCACTCCTCTATAAACAATAGATTTTAAGAATTAAAGCATTCCTTTCCCAGTATTTGTCAACTGGTCATTGGCAATTACACTGCAGACCTCACAACAACAAATGGGCTTCTTTTTTTTTTAAATAGCAGCCCGAGGGTTCATATAACATTGTAGTTGATATACCCTTGAGATTTTTTTATTTATTTAAATCCATGGTTCAGGACATCTTTTCCTCGATACCATGAAATCCTAAAATGTGATTTTTATCCTGATTCCGGCACGTTGTGAGATTTTAGGAACGAAGGTAAGACTATTTTGGGACGAAGAAGGCCGCCACTGATCAACACTGTAAGGTAAGCATTCCTTCAAATCGGCTTTTTCTCAAAAACACCATAACTATGAGGGCAGATATGACCTCTGCTGACCGTTAATCGATATTTATTTAGAAATCGTGAGTTGCGGTCTGGTGTGATGTAGGTTTCAGAAAAACATTTTCTTTATCGTGCCAACGTTTCGATTTTTATTGAAATCATCTTCAGGGCCTGGGATTTACAAACATTGTTTACATATTACAATTACATTTTGGATGTGGAAAAATGAATTTATACAATGCAAAATATATTTTTATATTTAATCAAAGTATTTCTACTCACTCAAAGTGTTTGTCTTCTGTGTAATTGTGCCATTCTTGCGTGTCGTGTCGAGAGTGGCAGTGAGATTTTGCTATTTTGTGTTTATATAGGTTGGATTTTGAAGGGGTGGGGAAGAAAGTGGGTACAGAAAAGACATTTTTGTATAAGGCGTCGGCTTCTTTGAGATGAAAAGAGCCGACGAAGGGAAAAAATGTGTTGGTAATGGTTCGGCCAGATTATCCTTTCAGGATTATATAGAAAGGGATAAATAGGAAAGGGAAAGCTAAATTGTTGGGAAATTAGGCTATGTGAAAAATATTTGAAGTGTGGAATGTAATGTGATATAGGTATGATATCTGTATTGAATTTGATTAATGACATTGGAGTAGCTGCGACTGAGTTTACATGTATCTGTTCTGTAATTGATGCTGTGTTTATCTCTGTTGATATAAGCCATTTCTAAGAAATTGTTTATGTTTGTTTTGTTCTGTGTGTAATACTTTTGGATTTTTGAAGTCGAAATTGTGTTGGTGTTCAAGATGATGGGTAGCGAGTGCTGTAGGATTTTGCTTAGGTTTTTGCACTCATAGATATGTTGCTTTACTCTCTTGTCCAGATATTGGGATGTAAGACCGATGTAAGTTGCCGGACAGTTAAAACTGTTGATGTTGAAGATTATGTCAGATTTATTTGTTATTGGTGTGGGATCTTTAATTTTGGAAAAAAGTGTTTGAATTGTTTTATAATTTTTGAAAGCTATTTTGAAATCGGACAAGAGAAATGAGTTTGATTTATGTGATAGGCCTTGGATAAATGGTATGGAAATGTATGCTGGTTTGTTTGTATTCGTTAGATTTAATGTTTTTTTTTTTTTTTTAATTGGCCTTATGATCTTTGCATATTAGCCATGACGAATCTCTTATACATGTTGTTCAAATTGGGGGTTATCGGGAAAAAAGGGCCAGAGGCGACGGTGGGAATCGAACCCACGACCGCGGCGTGAGAGTCTGTCATGCTAACCACTCGGCTACCGCGGTCCCCTAGATTTAATGTAGTATTATTTGTAATAGTGAAATGTGTTAGTGTTGAGTTGTAGTTGTTGATTATTCTGTTAATTATGTGTTTAGGGTAGAGATTGTTATGGAGGATCTGTTCGTATATCTTTATGTTTTTGTAGTAGAAGGATTCATGGCTTAAGGTAATCATTCTGTGAAGTAACCCTTTGGCCGTGTTTATTATTGTATGAAGGGGATGGTGAGATGTAAAGTAGCGATCTGTGTTTCTTGGTTTTTGATACCAATCTGTGATTAATGAGCCATCTTGTTGTATCTAAAAATGGTATTTTTTTGTTGTTTTCGATTTCATGTGTAAATTGTAGGCGTGGGTGAAAGCTATTAATTGTATCTAATGTAGTTTGAATTTGATCTGTGGAAACTGCTGTCAATATATCATCTACGTATTTAGTGAGGAAGGGTAATAATCTCAATAAAGATCGAAACGTTGGCACGATAAAGAAAATGTTTTTCTGAAACCTACATCACACCAGACCGCATCTCACGATTTCTAAATAAACCTCGTAAAAATTTTAAAAACAAAAAACAAACTAAGAGAAATAACGTTGCACATTGGACCTCTTCTTTTCTGTTGGCAAGACAGGAAGAGACCATGAGTCTGTAATGGTTTGAGCATCACTACTTTCTGAAACCTTTTTTCTACCTGTGAAGCATGTAGTCCACCAGTCAATTGTCAGAGGTGGTTCTCGGGGTAGATTATTCCAATACAAACTATTAAACCTTCTTAAGAGACACCAAATTACTGAATAAAATGAGGAAAGAGCCTCAGGTCACCACAAAGAACCTAAATTGGAAGAGTCCGCATGCCACTGCATTAACAGTCCGTTTTCGTTGCAGCCAAACCATCCCAATATATGGCTTAGTATATATTAAAGTAATTCCTGTTATCCAAGAAGGCCAAACGTCCAAATACCATTGGGTGTTGTAGATAAACATGCAAACCACTTTATTTTCGACTACAAAGCCATAGGATGTGCCGGGTTTCGAACTCAGTATCGCTAGTTTGGCAAATACAAGTCGGACGCCCTAACCACTTCCCAAACGGTTTAAGGAGGAACAGTTTACATACCCATATTAATTTTTTCTTTTTATTCAAAGCGAAAAACCTCTATGGGTAGGTAAATGATTCCTCCTTAAACCTTTACCTACCCATAGAGGTTTTTCGCTTTGAATAAAAAGAAAAAATTAATATTATTACATTTTTGCTCAATCAAAAAAAATTGGACCCGAAAATCAATGTGAAGGACGTAGCTGTAATGATGATTGTCTGGTCATATTATATGGATTAACTCAAGATTAATCAAATCTCAAATTTTTAAACATACTCTGTACTTCTGAGAAGACTACCATAGTCATAAACCCTTTTACGTTTTCATGGGCAATTGACAAAGTTACTTCTTTTAATCATTTAATTAATCTTTCTTTGTAAGGTCTTGGTTGAGATAAAAAAATTCAGTGTCACGATCGGGATTCGAACCCACGACCTTCGGCTAAATACGCCGCTACTCTACCACTTGAGCTATCGTGACGTCGATCCTCTCGGACACTAATTCTCTATCTCAACCTACAACCGTTCGAATTTTCCCTCTTTTTGCCATTTTCAAATGTCGTATAATCGGATCGGATTCTCAGCTACTTATGAAGTAGCCAAGTTTTATCTCAACCAAGACTTTAAGGAGAAAGAATAATTAATTGATTAAAAGAAGTAACTTGGTCAATTGTCCTCAAAAACAGTGTGTCGGTAGAGTAGCGGCGTATCTAGCCGAAGGTCGTGGGTTCGAATCCAGCTCGTGACACTGACTTTTTTATCTCAACTAAAAAACTTAATTAATTGAAAAATATTAATTGGTCAAGGGGACTATGAAAACTAGTGAATTAAATAAGTTAAATGAAGTATATCTTCACTAAAGCTCTCCGTGGCCATTTCATTTGTCGCCGAGAATCAAATAGATTACACGACATTTGAAAAATGGCAAAAAGGAGGGAAAATTCAAAAGGTGGGGTTGAGATGGGAAGTTAGTGTCCGACTGTATCGAGGTCACGATAGCTCAAGTGGTAGAGCAGCGGCATATTTAGCCGAAGGTCGTGGGTTCGAATCCCGCTCGTGACACTAGCTTTTTTTATCTCAACCTTACATACAAAGAATAATTTATAGTCATAAATTTCACACCATAAACGATTTTTTTATATAACTTCTTAGTTTCAAATGATTTGTAGGAAAATCAAGTTTGTGTCTTTTTGAACTTTACTGGCTTAGATTACATCTGGAAATCACAATACAATCACCTTTTTCCACAGATATGTAGAAAAAAATTATAAGGAGAATATTTATTTGGCCGTACCGCACTATATATAAAAAAAAGGCTGCTATGCCAAATAAGAGTACGCTGTTCTTTGTATACTGTCCACGTACTACATCCAAATTTTTACAATGACAAGCTCAAGTGTTTTAGAGCTGCATCAGTCAGGTCCACCTACAAATCCTGGCAGCCAATTAAAATTATTCAAAAATACAGATATCTCATAAAATCGAAAATATACTTGAGGCTTTTCCTTTCTTTTCTTTGTTTATTTTTATTCACTACCTAGTGGATATTTCTTTATTTGTTTTATAACGTATGGCAGATACTGATTCTATTATAGTATTTATGCTTTGCTGTTTGTACTTACACTCTTGTGGTATTTATATAACAAATGCATGCAAAAAAAATAAGGCTCAAAATTAAATAACATTTATTAACAAATTACAAAAGGCTGAAAATTTGTTTCATCACAGATCTAGGCATTTTAATCTTACTGAAACGCCAATAAATCTTATAAGACATCAATAACTAGTCTATATCACATGTTAAGTTAGAAAAACTATTAAATAAATTTAACGATATTGAAGGTAGAATGTCTGAAGAGACGATAAAATACTTTAATTTTAAAGCTTCCCTCAGCTTCGGCTTTAATTGTAAGATAAACCTTTTAGACAGATTAGGCAGATGGCCAGCATGCTAAATAGCGCCGCGAGCGTCGCGCTGATGCCGAACGTCAGTTTCATACTGCTCGCCGTGAATGTACCTTCATAAAGCAAGTCGCTCATTTCTCTGCCCACCTGTCCGATTTTCTATAAAAGCGAAAATGATGAAATTTTCATAATTTGATAATATAACGTTACAACTTACTATATCAACCCAGGCGATGGGCAAAACAAGCCCTGGTGAGAATGGTTTCAGTATAAAATAGTCGGGTGCGTCCGGGATCACTACGCCTATCTGAAACCTCGAGTTTGAAGACAGAGTAAGACCAAGAGTCTAAAATCAAAACGGGAAATTAAATATCAAAATTTTTTTCTGAAAAAATTAAATAACTCACAGCATGTATGTCCACGTAAAACTCATGTTTCTCTTTGATGGGATGCAGTCCATCGATGTGGTTTATAAGCTCCGGGTCTCCATAGAGAAAATGAGGATAGGATATGACAAGAGGTGCATCTGAAATTATTTAAAAACCCACTTTAGATTAAAGTAGAAACACTTACAATACTTTTTTTCATATTAGGCTCAATTAAAATTCCAAGGGCTAAGCCGCAATTCGAACCCAGACCACTAATCTCTAGGCCACCGTGGTGATCTGATGATGCTGTAGTTTTGTCGTTTTCCATCATCTTGGTTTGTAAAAAAAATTATGATTTATTTAAGAGGATATTTATTTGGCCATGCCGTAGTACATAAAAAATCATCTTTCACGGCCGATGATATGAATCTATTTTTAGCTTATCCTTCGTTTCAGCCTGGTTAGAGTGATCATCTACTTCATTTCTTTTTATTTTGTGTTATTTTTTCATTGCTGTATGTATTGAATACTAATAAGATAACTATGTCTATTTTCAGCCTGATTTGAAAGCCCGTTTAACCTCAAATTGTGACATATTTCCTTTTGTCTGTGGGGTGATGAAACAATAATTTGGTCATTAATGATCATTCGGTCTTCCCGTGATCGCTGATGGGTATGCCAGACGAATTTCAGTTTATAGCCTTCTCGTATCTCGGAAATTTCTTTTTAAGTTGTGCAAGGTGAAGAACCTCACGTCCTGTCATACAAGAGTGCATAACCCTTTGGGTGTCGCGCACGAGGGGGCCAAACCAGTTAACAGTACTTTTATGTTGTTGTTTTTTTTTATTTTCATATTATTATCAATTAAAATTCTATTGGCTATGCGGGGATCAGAACCAGAACCTCAACCACATCGTGGTGCTCTGATGAGTCTTTAGTTTGGTCGTTTTTGATCATTCTAGTTGGGTATGTCAGATGCGTTTCGGCAATACATCATCTTCAGTTGTGGTTTTGTGTGTTGCCTATCATCATCTTTGACTAATAAAGGAATCCAGTTTTAATAATGTCTGTAGAAAAAATTCTGCCAGAAGAGCATTTTTTATCCTTCGTCATATCTTTTGAGCAAACAAGGTTAATATGTCAAATCCGGGTTGTTAGCGCTTCAACCTTCAATAGAAATGTGTGGTGATTAATGACCGATAGCTTTTATCTTTTTTGTACATTAGTACATCTAGCCATTCCTGTTAGTGGGTCCCGCGGACAGTCCACAGCCCGACCCCGCCGAGACCTAACGCCACGAGCGCCGACCTGGAAGGACGCCCATGCCTCTTCTCTGCATAAGGTCCTTCTACCCTTCTTTTACTTTGTCACATATTGTTCCAGATGGATGCGGATAAAAACCATCTACACGGCACCTAGGGCCCATGGAAAAGACCGCATCCAACCCACAAACCGGGGCCAAATATGTCATTTTTTTCGATAAATGTAAAAATGGGATCCAGGTTTTCAATGTTCTTGATATACCTTAAAATTAAGTTAACTGAGGTGGGTAGTGGCACTTTATTTTTCACCCGTGTTTTGTAAATATCTTCTCTTCCTTGAAGTTTTAGTGGGCAGGCCAAAAGAACATTCGCATCTGCCACTGTAGAATTGTCACATGAACATATGCCATTTGAGAAGATTCCCATTTTGTGAAGGTGGGATGGAAGACGGTGATGGTTAAACCTAAGCCTAAATATACAAATGAAAAACTTTCTCGGTCGTCTCACGGTAGAAAACCATGCTGCAGACTGGATCGTTGGCTGTATGTTAAAATACCAAAGGTCCTTAGAATTACTTGCCTCTGTGTATTCCTTTTGCCATTTTTTCATTTTTTCCTCAGAATCGTTTTGTTATGAAAGGTGATATCCGATACCGAGATCTCTTCAATACAACTTCCCGAAACTTCAGCCTCTTTTGCCAGTAAATCCACCTGATTGTTAAATTTATTATCTCTGGGACCCTTCACCCAGATCAAGTGAATAATGACACGATTACTCGCAGACAACATACTGTGTTTTATCTCTGTGGTGATGGGATCTTGAGGACAATCCGTATTTTTTAAGGCTGATAAGACACTCCGACTATCCGACAAAATTATAGCATAGGTTGGGTTGGGATTTATTACATACTTAACTGCTTCTCTTATAGCTATGGCTTCGGCGGAAAAGATAGAGCAAAAGGAGGGTAGCTTTAACTTAGTTGAGTTCTTGTTACTTATGTCGAGAAATGCTGCACCAACTCCATTTTTTGATTTTGAACCATCCGTATAAACCACTGTGGCTAGAGGGCTATTTACGGTTTCATAACAATCTATTACATATTCTCTTTCTCCTATCAGATCTTGTTGGCCTATTATGATATTGGGTGAATAAAGGGAGGTGCGCCAATTAAGCGTAGGGTTGGCGGTCCGAATTTGTCTACCAAGGGCGATGTGTTTTATTTGCATTGTGCTTTCAGCAAAGGGGAGTGTCTTATGGATGCATTGTGTACACCACCAAAGGATATATCAGCATAAGCAACAGGGTGTGAAGGATCGTGCAACCGAGAAGCTAAGAATTTAATTGTTACCCGTCTTCTTCTAAGATGTAAAGGTTCAATATTAGCCTCCACTTTCAGGGAGTTTGTAGGCGTAGAAGACAAAGCCCCCAGACAAAGCCTTAGTGCTCTGTGTTGTATAATGTCTAATTTCTGTAAGTGGGATTTAGCCGCATTACTGTACAATATTGAACCAGGCACAAAATAATGGTGTAGCCTTGAGGGCGTGGCAACCTCTCTAAAGCACAAGCTGTCTTATGTTGGCCTCAGGGTCGGCAGGGACGTCGGGTGCCTTAGCAGAGTCACACGAGGGCCAGTGCACCAGATCCTGTATGCATAGATGGGGGAGGGTTGTATGGCCATCTGTACCACGGGGTGACAGAAATGTTCCAGAATCCGGCCCTCTGTCACATTGGGAACGGATTCGTGGTGGCTTGTGGTGACGCCCCTGGCGGGAACTTAGAGAGAGACTGTCTTCTACCTGGGACCTTTCGTGAAGCTTGCGCATGGCCAATGTATTATCATCCCCGGTCCTCACGGAAAACGTTGCGACCGGACGACAGCATGTAAGCGTTGAGGACTCATGATCATGCTACAGTCCCTCGAATGCGTGAGTAAGCGACTGGAAAAGGGTAGTGGTATCGGCGGTTTCTGACGAGTATGCTTTGCATTGTTGTGCGTATGACCGGCGTGGTACCCTTGGGGAAGCGAAGGATCGGACCACCTAGGCTAGACCTATGGCGTCCCTCGATTACGTGCAGCAGGTGTAGGCTGAGCTTGATAAGAGACCTTTGTCCGTAGGCAGTACTCATCTAGGGGGTGGGTAGCAATCCCACTTTTTAATCCGAAACCGCTGTCGTGGCGTTCCCGAAAGTTTCTACGCTAGGGGAGCCTCTACACTCAGAGAGATAGAGTCGCCTACTCTATCTAGGGAGTACGCGAGGGGGGGACGGGCTGATGTATTTCGGCCCGTTAGCCCCTCGCGTGCGGCGTACGGCCCGACGCACAATGCGGGCCCGACCATTCGGAGTGGACAAGCGGGGAGTGTGGCTACTGACCCTTAGGGGCCGGGACACCACTACACCAATGCTGCGGCGGTAACACTTTTCCGTCGTATGCAGAAGTGCGTCAGCTCTCATCTTGAGAATCAAAGCGTCCGATAAGGCCATGAGCCAGGTGCGGACGTTAAAGATCTTGTCTTGTTGACGATGAGTAAATCGGGAACGCATGTACAATATTGAACCATAATCAATGCGTGAGAGAACGAGGGCGCGATATGTTAACAATCCAATGCTTGAATGAGCACCATGCTTAACTCTAAAAATACACCTTAAGATATTTAATGCTTTTCTACCCTTCTAACCATACTTTATTAAAAAAACCCTACAATGCAAAATATATTTTTTGACCGCATCTCACGATTTCTGAATAATTCTTCTACAGAAAACTAACATGTAAATTTGATAGGAAAAAAGTATGCCTGCAAAGAAAATCAATTTGATCTCCGTATTCCATTACCTCTTTGAGTGTAGTCACTTGACTGAGCTAAGGGCCAAAGCCTTAGAGGCAGCAGCAAAAGTAGGTATTGTTTATCAATTTTTTTCCAAGCATTCGCGTGTAATTTTACTGTATTACTATGCTAATTTTGCTTAGGCTGAAATTAATCTGTTAAATTCTGTTTTTATTATTTGTAAAGAAAAGTAAAGTAATTCCTTTCTCACAGGAGGACAACATCCAACTACCCGTCGTATGTCGCTGGCGTGGGGTCAAACCACTTTATTATACTTCTTTCAAACAATTGTCAACTAAAAAGTCATAGGCTGTGTCGGGATTCGAACCCAGGGCGGCTAGCGTGGTAAATAAAGTCGGACGCCCTAACTACTCGCAGTAACTGCGGTCCCTGGTTACATTGTTTGCATTTTTCATTGGTTAGCAGTACTGATTTTAGTCTTCCGTCGAGATTTTAGTGTTTTTTAAGTATGTAAGATTAACCAGTATCATTTTCATGCTGAATCGGCAAGGGTCAAGACAGACAATAAATGACCCAGTGCCGATTCAGCATGAGTTCATCTATTCGCAGACCAATCAACAACTCATTTCGTTCTAAAAACATACGCATTTGGGGTACGCGTAAGGAAAATTTATGAATTTTCGGTTCATTTATAATCCTGATACTTGCCATAGTTGCACGGTTTGATGCTGAAAGCTCCCGAAGGAGGACAGTTGACCTGACAGAAACATGAATTTTCCGGGTTGTCCGCTCCAGAGGCGTAGACGTCAGGTGGGAGGACGAAGCGTCTCGCCGGGTACATCCCTACTATCGTCTCCTTTGCGAACCTCAGTGGGATCCGTCTGCACAAGCTGTACGAGAAAACGTGCAACGTATCCTTAGTCGCCGATACACGACCTGAAATTTAAATTGGAACATTTCATATCGACATACTCATGATCATCTAGGACCAAGTTCAAGGACATCTCGCATTAACGATCTAATTAAAAACAAACAATCGAGGGCAAGCGTGACCTACAGGTCATCAGTAATGGTCGGGGACTGACAAGGGTACAATCACACACCATTCGGCCAACAATAATTCCATTTTTATTAGCGTTGGCTGTTTTTTAAAAGAATGTACAAGTGTTTCTTAAATTTTACGGTTACAAATTTACAATTTCACAATTAGGCACAAATTTCACTTTATAAGTTATTATGTTATATAATAATCTCCTTTAATTAACTAATATTCATTTGCAGACTTGTTACATGGAATGAAGAAAAGAAAGAGAGAGAGAGAGAAGGAGGGAGAGGGAGAGAGAGAGGGAGGGGTGAGAGAGGGAGAGAGAGAGAAAGGGTGAGAGGGAGGGAGGAAGAGAGAGAGTGAGAGAGGGTGAGGTGAGAGTGAGAGGGAGGGGGAGAGAGAGGGAGGGGTGAGAGAGGGAGAGAGAGAAAGGGTGAGAGGGAGGGAGGGAGAGAGAGTGAGAGAAGGTGAGGGGAGAGTGAGAGTGAGAGGGAGGGGGAGGTAGAGAGAGAGGGAAAGGTGAGAGAGGGAGAGAGAGAGAAAGGGTGAGAGGGAGGGAGAGCGAAAGAGAGAGAGCGTGAGTGGAAGAGTGATAGAAATTTAATAAGCATGATAAAATCGTCATTACGGCGCTTCGCTATACTAAACCTTCACGATTGATCCGTCATGTTGGCTTTCTATCAAGCGCCTTGCTAAAAAAAATTTGTACTTCCATGTCGAGAAAAAAATTAATAATTTAATTAACCGATATATTCTTGTTAGTTGGGTAAAACAAAATAGAAAGTACAAACCACAAACAAACCAATATTAATCCTCATTTTTAATAACTGATTTACTTTATTATTTTTATCTAATTTACTTTAATCGGCGGAAATGCCAAATACCAAGGCCTCTAAATTTTTCTTTGCAATCCTGTCTGTTCGATAGCCCACTGACTACAAACTGCCATTCTTTGTAAGTAAATTGTAAATTTCTTAGTCATTGTGATGCGCTACCTTAGGCGAAAATTACCTACCTTATTTTACAATTTTTTTGTTAGCATATCAGAGTGGATTTTCCAGGTCATACTTGGGGTCAATACAGACGCCTAATTGTTGTACAGCGATAAGGGTATCAGGTACCATTTTTAAATCTTTGAGACCGCAGACAAAACTGTTTTTGTATAGTATTCGTTTAAAGAGGTTTTTTTAATCAAAGTTTTAGTCGCACTTGTGAGAGTTGGTAATTTTCCACTAAAGTTAATACATCTTTATCTATCATCTGGAAAAGCGTCGATTACAGTCAAAGACAAAATAACCGGACACTTTTATTTTTATTTCAAACTATATGTATTTTTGTCATTATATTATTAATTGTAACACGCTTATTTTAATATAAACCAAATTAAACGAGATCAAAAATTAATGAGTTTTTTATAGAAATTATTTAATTTTAATGGTTTGGCCGAAAATTTGTCAAAACACCGGAATAACTTTATTTAAAACAATTAAATTTAACTAACAATTTATTATATGGTTGTGCTCATAAATGTAACTAATAATTTATTACATAGTTTTACTCATAAAATTTAATTAACCAAATTTTCGTCTAGTATCGTCGAGTACAGTTAAAGACAAAAAAAACGGGACTCCCGTAGTTTTTTAGTTCATATCAAACTACATGTATTTTTGACGTAATTATAACATGCTTATTTTCATGTAAACCAAATTAAACTAGATAAAAAATTAATGAGTTTCTATAGAAATTATTTAATTTTAATGGTTTGGCAGAAAATCTATCAAAACACCGGAATAACTTTATTTAAAACAATTAAATTTATCAATTTATTATTTATTAAATTTTGTCAATTTATTACATGGTTGTGCTCATAAAATTTAACTGACAATTTATTATACGATCTTGCTCATAAAATGTAACTAACAATTTGTTACATAGTTGTACCCATATAATTTAACTAATAATTGTTATATGATTTTTCTCGTTCAATTAAACTAACAATTTATTACATGGTTTTGCTCATAAAATTTAATTAACCAGATTTTCGTCTAGTATCGTCGAGTACAGTTAAAGACAAAAACCGGACACCCATAGTTTTTATAGTTCATATCAAACTATATGTATTTTTGTCATTACATTATTAATTGCAACACGCTTATTTTAATGTAAACCAAATTAAACGAGATCAAAAATTAATGAGTTTTTTATAGAAATTATTTAATTTTAATGGTTTGGTAGAAAATTTGTCAAAACACCGGAATAACTTGATTTAAAACAATTAAATTTAACTAACAATTTATTACATGGTTGTGCTCATAAAATTGAATTAACCAAATTTTCGTCTAGTATCGTTGAGTACAGTTAAAGACAAAAAAACCGGGACACCCGTAGTTTTATAGTTCATATCAAACTACATGTATTTTTGACGTAATATTAATTATAACATGCTTCTTTTCATGTAAACCAAATTAAACTAGATAAAAATTAACGAGTTTATATAGAAATTATTTAATTTTAATGGTTTGGCAGAAAATCTATCAAACACCGGATTAACTTTATATAAAACAATTAAATTTAACTAACAATTTATTATACGATTTTGCTCATAAAATGTAACTAACAATTTGTTACATAGTTGTATCCATATAATTTAACTAATAATTGTTATATGATTTTTCTCGTTTAATTAAACTAACATTTTATAACATGGTTTTGTTCATAAAATGTAATTAACCAGATTTTCGTCTAGTATCGTCGAGTACAGTTAAAGACAAAAAACCGGAAACCCATAGTTTTTATAGTTCATATCAAACTATATGTATTTTTGACTTAATATTAATTATAACATGCTTATTTTCATGTAAACCAAATTAAACGATATCAAAAATTAATGAGTTTTTATAGAAATTATTTAATTTTAATGGTTTGGCAGAAAATTTGTCAAAACATCGAATCCTACCTGTTTAATAGATTGGTTGCATATGGCATGGTCTATGTTTCTTTAATAGTTAGGTGTTGAACCAATTGGGTTCAATTGTTGATTGTTCTTTTATAAAAAGATCTTTTATTTGAAAAATATATTGTGTCCCATTCTTTGATTTGTTGTTTCAATACATCTAGCACATTCTACAAAAGGACTTTGTCAACTGCATAAATTAACACAGGTGATTTCAAAATTGTCGATACTAGTCAGTTTTCTTTGGTTTCCCTTTGGAATATTTAATTTAATCGAGTTGACCTCGATTGGAAGATCCAACACGTATGAATTACTTCCTTCGGTAATCTACTGGTGATGGGGCGAGCTGATCAAAAGAGTTAACTCACTGAACGAGCGATGAAACTCTCTGAAAAAAAATCTTATATCCCTTTCACTACAATACCAATTCTTCAGCGATCGCGCTTTACTATTTCAAGAAATAAAATATATTACATATAAAATAAATACTTGCGTCCGTAGTCCAGATCGTCGGAGGAGCATATGTACATCAAGAGCATATGTAGCCCTCATAGGATCGCAGTCGTATAAGAGGGATCAGGGAACTTAAGACACAGATTCTTAGGAAAAAGCCCGCGTATGTGTCGGGCGTGTGTAGGAAAGTTGTTCGATGTGTACTATATAATGTGTCATTCCTTGGTTACATATAGGGAGCATGTATTTGGGTTCCCTTCGGAGTTTTGGACGAAACGGGGCTGTTTCATTGTGTACAGTACTTGATAGATATATAGGTTTGTATTTTTATATTGAATGTACTTATTAGCGTGAATATATACCGTGAGAGGGCCGATAGTGAAATATTGTGGGTTAGTAATTTATACATATTTAAAAAAAATGATTTAGTTAAAGTACAATTAAGTAAGGTTTTTGGTTGAGATAAAAAAGTCAATGGCACGAGCGGGATTCGAACCCACGATCTTTGGCTTGATACGCCGCTGCTCGACCACTTGATCCATCGTGACCTCGATCCACTCGGACACTAACTTCCCATCTCAACCCCACCTGATAGAGCAGCAGCGTACCAAGCCGAAGATCGTGGGTTCGAATCCCGCTCGTGCCATTGACTTTTTTATCTCAGCCAAAAACCTTAATTAATTGTAATATATTAATTGGTCAAGTGGACCACGAAATTAGTGAATTTAGTTAAAGGTTATGTTATTTACTTATTTAGTGTTTAATTAATTTCTATTTATTAACGTTATTTATTATTATTTAACAGTTTTCAGTAATCGTCTTTTCGCCATAATATGAATCTGATATCCAATATATACACTTTATATATTTGGTATTTAGGTTATTGTATTATATGTAATATTTCGTATGAAGCATCTAGAATCAAATATTAAAAAAAGTAATTCTTGTCATAGAAGAGGGCTTAATGTTAAACTATACTTCTTTCAATTAATAATTCTTATAATGAAAGGTCTTGGCTGAAAAAAAAAAGTTAGTGTCACGAGCGGGATTCGAACCCACGACCTTCGGCTCAATTCACCGCTGCTCTTACGCTAACGTAATCAAGTGGTAAGAGCAGAGGCGTATTGAGCCGAAGGTCGTGGGTTCGAATCCCGCTCGTGACGCTAACTTCTTCATTTCAACCAAGGTCTTACATAAAAAGGATAATTAATTGAATGAAGAAATTTGGTCAATAGACCACTAAACATAATGGGGTTAAACTATACGTTGAGCGTCGCAGACAAGGGGGCAAACGTACTATACAATACTTTCTGAGATTTTGAATTAAAAATTCATTTGCTGTGACGGGATTCGAACCCAGAATGCGATTGGGCGCCGTAACCACTCGGCCACCGCCACAGATAAAACCCTAATAACAATTTAGTGACAATTTGGTCGATATTTTAACCACGCTGTAAATCACGAAAATAATCTACATATCAATTAATTATTCTTTTTATCTAAGGCCTTGATGAAAAAGTCAGTCCGGAGCCTTGTCGATAGATGGCCCTCAGAGGATCGGAATCTTAGAAGAGGGATCAGGGGACTTAAGACATAGATTCTTGGGAAAAGCCCGCGTATGTTTCGTCATGTAGGGAAAAGTTGATGGGTACCACATAAAGAGTCATTCCTTAGTTATATATAGAGAACAAGTATTTGAGTTCCCTATTCGATTTTAGGACGAAACTTGATAGATATATCGATTTGTGTTTTCAGATTGAATGCATTTATTAGCGTGAATATGGAAGGCCGATGGCGAAATGTTGTGCACATCGACGCTCAATTATAATAGTAAGTTATACTTATGTGAAAAAAAGCAATTCTGTCATAGAGAAGAGAATTTTTTACATTTTTGTAAAGTAATCAAAACACCGAATAAAATTGTATTGTATTGAATTATACCTGGAAATATGGAGCCATCAAAACCTGTGAGATTATTGCATTCGTCGCTCGACCAAACGTTCAGCTTTTTCATACCGTTGACCTCATGAATAAGTGCGAAATTGTCAATATCGTCGACACCAGTTCCCACCGTGATCCTATTGACGCTGAAGCCGGTTCTCTAAAAATAGGCACAAATTCAACAAAAATTATCTTAATTTATTAGGATTGAGTCGTTTATATAAGCTTAACTCTGTGCACATATTATCTCCGTGCCTCAGCCTTTAACCTCCAGGGGCAGTTAACAGTAGGTCATCAGCCCGAACGCATGCAATTTTTAAATTTCTCACTCATTCTTCAATGCATTATTTTCTATTAAAAACATTCACTCAATTTAATTGGAGCATTCGATATTCCTCCTTCACCCTGAGCACATCCTATATAACTAACCTCACATAATATCCCACCTAGACTCTCTCACACTGCACATTCACCCTAATAAATTTCTCAATAATTTTTTTTTTAATTTGTCTTCTATTATCAAGCAGTGTCTTTAGTTTTAAAGCTAATGATAATATTTATCTAGGTTTTTGTTATTAAATATTAATGAATGAGTCTCGACCTTCGCAAGTGATCAACGACAGCACTATTGTAAAATTCACTAATTTCGTGGTCCGCTTGACCAATTAATATATAACAATTAATTAAGGTTTTTAGTTGAGATAAAAAATTCAATGGCACGAGCGGGATTCGAACCCACGATCTTCGGCTAGATACGCCGTTGCTCTACCACTTGAGCTATCGTGACCTCGATCCACTCGGACACTAACTTCCCATCTCAACCCCACCTTTTGAAT